AAAGGGAAAGAATCAAGCATTTTATCCTTCCTTTTATATGCAAACTGAATCATGTGATAATAAGAGGGGCAAATTTTTTCTTTATATATATTCTAGCTAACAGATAAAGAAGGAATGACAGAATGAGATATCACTACTTTTTTTTAAATTTTTTTTTAACATTTATTTATTTTTGAGAGACAGAGAGAGGCAGAGCATGAGCAGGGGAGGGGCAGAGAGAGAGGGAGACACAGAATCCGAAGCAGGCTCCAGGCTCCGAGCTGTCAGCACGAGCCTGACGTGGGGCCCAAAGTCACAGATCGCGAGATCACGACCTGAGCCGAAGTCAGACACTCAACCGACTGAGCCACCCAGGCGCCCCGAGATACCACTACTTCTTATTCCAAAATGGATCTATGCAGTAATCATTAATATCAAAATATCAGGAAAACAACAACAAAAAGAGAGAGAGAATTATGTTGGTAGGATGACAGCCTACCTATAATCATCTTGCCTCTTCTCTCCATCAAGGAAACCTGATCAAGTCTCTATACCCAAGTACCAATTTATGAAACTATAGAAGTTAGAAGAACGCGTTAAATTATGCAATCAACAAAATCCAGATTTTGGAAAACCACACAGGACAAATGACTCCATTTCTTTAACAAATTGAAAAAATAAAGTTGTAGAAGGAGGAACCTATAATAGAGACTTAAAAGATGTATCCACTCATAGCATTATGTAGACTTTACTTTGGTCCTGATTCAACCAAAAATTAACATGGCTTCACACAGAAACTTGTACACAAATGTTCATAGCAACATTATGTATAATAGCCAAAAAGTGGATAAATAAAAATGTGGTATACCCGTACAATGGAATCCAGCAGTAAAAAAAGATCCATGCTGCACTATAGATCAATCTTGAAAACTTTATGCTACGTGAAAGTAGTCAGACAGAAAACACCACATATGGTATTATTCCATTTATATGAAATGTACAAAATAGGCAAATCCATAGCATGTATGTTAGTGGTTGCCAAGGGACGACTGGGAAATGGTAAGTGACTGCTATTGGATACAGGGTTTTCTATTTGGGATGATGGAATTAAGATAGTGATCATGACTGTACATCTTTGTGAAAACGCTATAAACCACTGAATTATACACTTTAAATGGATAAATTTTATGGGATGTGAATTGTATGTCAAAAAATATGGCATTCATGAGACAAATGGAAATTTAATTACTGATTTGTTACTTGATAATATTAAGTTATCAGCTTATAACATTACAACATCTTTGTTTTAGAGATACATCTTAAATATTTACAGATGAAATATACTGCTGGGGTTTGCTTCAAAAACAGTATAGGATATAGCTGGAAAACCGTTATTTTCCAGGTATCAGAGAAAGAACTGTATCAGGCAAGAATTATCAGTGGATGCTGTGATGATCCTAAAATATGTCCACAAATTCTTTGATAGTCTCCCTTCAAGAATTGGAGCTTGGGGGAAAAAAAAGTTTAGAGCTTATTGTTTCTTGTAATGTGGGTTGGACTTAGTCACTTAAAAAAAATGTTTATTTATTTAGAGAAACGGGGGGTGGGGGTGGGGGGGAGAGGGAGACAGAGAATCCCAAGCAGGCTCCATGCTGTCAACACAGAGTGTGATGTAGGGCTCGAACCCACAAACTGCGAGATCATGACGTGAGCTGAAACCAAGAGTCTGACGCTTAACCGACTGAGCCACCCAGGCGCCCCTGGATTTAGTAACTCCTAATGAGTCCGCTGTAGTGGAAATGACAGTGTATGAGTCCCAAGAGCAGGTCACAAAAGGCATTGCTCTCTCAGGGATCACTTGCTCTGAGGAAACCAGTCCATGCCACGAGGACACAGAAGCAACTCTAGAGAGAAGTTTGTGAAGCAAGGAACTGACAGTTTCAGCACAACTTGCCAGGTATATGAATGAACTGTCTTGGCAATGGATTCTCCAGCCCCAGGCAAGCCTTCAGATGATGGCAACTTCTGGCCAACACTGAAATGTAATCTCACCAGAGATCCTGAGGCAGAAACATCAAGCTAACCACTACCAATTTCCTGACCCACAGAAACTGAGATCATAAATACTGTTTTAAACAACTAAGTTTTGCATATGTATTATGCAGCAACAGGTAAATACAGACGCTGAATCTAAGGGAAATGTTGATGATAAGCAGATTATTTGCATGATCTTAAAGCATCTCCGCACAGACTGTTTCTTATTTGCAAGGGGGAGGCAGTAACTGTAGAGTGATGCAATTGGGCAACAACCTTGACCAGTGATCAAGATCAACATCACCAATAAGGGGCAGATAGACATACGCCTCCACATGTGATATCCTGAGAGGAACACAACATAAACTAGGCAGTATTCTGGGCAAGAATGTGTATTTGGAATCTAATCATAAGAAAATGGTAGACAGATCCCCAGTGAGGACCATCTTACTAAAAAAAAAAAAGGAAGAGGTATTTATTTTGCCAAAATGTCAATGCTATAAAAGAGAAAGTCTCTGGAAATGGAGGCTGACAACTGAATACAACACCTAGCCCTGAACTGGAAGGGAAAAAATGCTATAAAGAACATAATCAACAAAATTGGAATATGCAAGGTGGAACAGAGGTAAAATTGAGTCAGTGTTAAATTTACTGAAGTTGGTGACTGTACTATACGTAAGAGAGTATCCTCATTTTAAAGAAATACATAATGAAGTATTTAAGGGTAAAGGGCTATGATACACGTAACTTGCCCTCAATAGGTGGAAAAAAAGTGTTTGGGGGAGGGTTGTGTGTGTGCGTGAGAGCGAGAGAGATGAAGGGATGAATCTGGGTAAAGGGTGATAGGTATTTGATTTTGTCTTACTATTTTCATTTTTTGTTCCTTACATGTATGCTTGAAATTATTTCCAAAAAAAAATTTAAAAGATAAAAATTCTGTGGGGTTGAGGGGAAAAAGTAACGGTAAAAATGAAATAAAGCTGGCTGTAAGCTGACAATTATTGAAGCTGAATGGTATATTGTAAAAGGAGGTTTACTAAATTCTTCTACTTTCGTATATATTTGAAATATTCCATAATAAACGGCGGTGAAGTGTAAGAGAACTGAAGTTAAAGATCCCAGGTGTCTCTTCCAGTGCCTAGTTCTATGGTCTTTTTAAATGCATTAAAAAAATTATTTTTAAGGGGGCGCCTGGGTGGCCCAGTTGGTTAAGCGGCCAACTCTTGATTTTGGCTCAGGTCACGATCTCATGGTTCATGAGTACGAGCCCCACGTGAGGCTCTGTGCTGACAGCATGGAGCCTGCTTCGGATCCTTGGTCTCCCTCTCTCTGCCCCTCCCCTACTTATGCTCTCTCTCTTAAAAATAAGTGCTAAAAAAGAAAAAAAAAATTTTTTTTTAGTGCATTCCCAATGTTACATAACCATCACCACCATCCATCCCCAGAACTTTTTATCTTGCAAAACTGAAACTCTGTGCCCAGTAAACACTGTCTCCCCTCCCCACTCGCCCTCCTTCCAGCCTCTGGCAACCACCCCTCTACTTTCTGTCATAGAGACTAGGACTACTCCAGGTCCCTTATACAAGTGGAGTCACACAGTATTTGTCCTTTTGGGCCTGGCTCATTTCACTTAACAGTGACTTCACGGTTCATCCGTGCTGTAGCAGGTGCCAGAATTTTCTTCCTTTTAAAGGCTAAATGATACGCCATTGTCTGTACACGGCACATTCTGTTTGTCTGTGCCTCTGTTTGTGGACACTTTGGTTGTTTCCACCCCGACTACTGTGAAAAATGCTGCTGTGACCATGGTGTACATGAGCTCGTTGAATCCCTGCTTTTAATTTCAAGCCTGGATTTTTACAATTTGTTAGGGAAAGGGAGTTATATTTTAAATTCCTCTTACCATCTGGGATCTAGTTTGTTTGATGTTTTTAAGTGATCTTCAAAGGGGCGATGATCATGCTTTTCCAGAGAAAGCACAGACGTGACTGGTCTTGACCGTTGCAGCTGAGCTCGTGTCTCATTTCAAACGGGTTCCTTCACGTGCAGTGCTATTCACGTGCCTATTTGACAGTTATTTCTGTTGGACGGATTGGATAATAGGAACCCTGTTTTAGGTTTTGGACACCGGGTAGGCACAGGGAAAAATGACCAAAGTTGGTCAAGTTCATGAGAAAGGGCTTGTGGGCCTGGTTTCTCTAGTAGCACAATCCCCTTCTGTGAGGCCTGAGTACTATTATTTTCTCATGGTTGCTTTTCCATTAGCAGCATGTACCCCAGGATGGTGGCACTTCCTTCCCCTTTCCTAAAGGGTTACATAATTATGCAGACCAGCATCATGGGCCTTTTTCCACTTGGACAGTACTTTCTGGAACTGCTAGATTTCCAGATGAGAACTGTTTATTCTGGATCAGACTTACTTTGGTCAGCTGAATCCTCCTGGGTATGGAGAGTTTTTCTTACCCTTGGCCTACTTTTTGTGGTACTAAATATCCTTTTACAGTTTCACCAAGCACTTTGTAAAATAGAAATAGTTGAAAGTGCTGCTTTATTTTGCTTCCTTAGCTCCTTTTGCTGTTTCAGTACGTACATCAGTTACCCTGGGGTTGGTAAACTGTAACCAGAGAGCCTTGCACTGGAAGGGATGTCACAATATTCATCAAGTGCCTACTATGCGCCAGCCCCTCCCCCGCACCATCCATTATAATACTAGATAGTTATTACCCCCAGAACATTAAGAGTGGTGATGGAGGGGCACCTGGGTGGCGCAGTCGGTTAAGCGTCCGACTTCAGCCAGGTCACGATCTCGCGGTCCGTGAGTTCGAGCCCCACGTCGGGCTCTGGGCTGATGGCTCAGAGCCTGGAGCCTGTTTCTGATTCTGTGTCTCCCTCTCTCTCTGCCCCTCCCCCATTCATGCTCTGTCTCTCTCTGTCCCAAAAATAAATAAACGTTTGAAAAAAAAATTAAAAAAAAAAAAAAAAAGAGTGGTGATGGAGATGTGTTCAGGGCCTAATGGGAAAAAAAGAAAGGCAAAGCGAGAGGCTTTTACTTATGTGTAATGTCTTCTCTACCCTGATCACTGCTTGGATTGTCCCCTCCAACACATTACCATTCATTAGCAGAAGAAAATCACCAAAGTGTCATTGATCTCCAAAATCAACTCATTTTTCCATGTTCTCAAACCAGCATGGGAAAAACTGGGAAAAGACAAAGGAACAAGAAGTGCAGAGGGAAACAAGTTGGGATTCCTGCCCTCCTGTGAACCGCCTGTATTCGTAGAATCTTTTTTCTGTATTTTCCTCTTCTCTACATTACCTCACTTTTCAGTGATTAATAGCTAACATTACAAGTGAGCATCATACTTATTAGTATTAGTTTTTCTAAATGTTTATTTTGTGTATTTTGAGGGGGAGAGGAGCAGAGAGAGGGAGAGAGAGAATCCCAAACAATTTCCATGCTACAAGCGGAGAGCCCATTGCAGGTCTTGATCTCACAAACCGTGAGAATGTGACCTGAGCTGAAACCAAGAGTCAGACACTTTACCAAGCCACCCAGGTGCACATTGTTAGTATTACTCTTAAGTGACATAGCAATCCTTCTGTTGTTCCCAATTTTTCATTATCCTTTTCAGTGACATAGAACTCTATACACATACCTTTTTCCCCGTTTTGGATGACTTCCTTGATGTAAACCCTTAGGAATGGAATGTTGGCCAGGCTTAGGATGAGATTAAGTCCATTTAAAATGACTTCGATGCTCTCCCCTAATTAAGGTACAGGTCCATAAAAATGCTCATTCCTGTGTTAGTGACTGGGATCCTGCTTTTTAAAAGGGCACCTTTTAAAGCAATGAAACAAGTATTAGCTTAACATTCAAACGCACTCGAAAAAACTGTTGGAATGCGTGAGCTTGCTAGACTACGGGAAGCATGGATACCCAACAAAGGAAGGAATAAATGGTCAAGTGCTGGAGGAGGGTGTCCACTTCTGTCCGAGTGGCCTTACTCATCATTCATCTGAGACTTTGAGCAGTTTCCCACCTTAGAGAGGAAGTTGGCACCTGTCAGGTCCACTTATATGTGGGGTTTTTTGATATAGAACTGTAATATATATTTTCTCTTCCTTATGATTTTCTTAATAACATCATCTTCTTCTCCCTAGCTTACTTTATTGTAAGAATATCATACTGAATCCATATAACACACAAAATATACATCAATAGACTGTTTATGTTATTATCAGTAAGGCCAGTGGTCAACAGTAGGCTATTCGTAAAGTTCTGGGGGAGTCCAAAGTTACACACACATTTTTGACTGCAAGGGTGCCCTTAATCCCGTTGTTCAAGGGTCAACTGCACTTCTTTTCCTTCCTGTATCTGCTGCTTGGGGTTTTCCCTCTCTTCACTCTCTTTTCCTTAAGACTTGTATTCTCACCAAGAGTAACTCGGGGTGGTTGCTATGCATCTCAGTCTCCTTCTGGCTTTAGCATCTCCAGAGGTTCTTAGTTCCCTTCCATCATCACTCATCCCTTCCTAGAGCTTTACTCACTCTGAGCTTCTCCTTTTCTGCATCACAGGCGATGGGACCCCCTGAGGGTGGGCTAAAAATCTGCTCTCACCTTTACTGTCTCTCTTCAGAATCTTACCTTCTTCACTCAAGAAACAGAGCAAATGCCACTTCCTCTGTTGGAGAAGTCAAGTATGCCAAAGATGGCCGACGGGGCTAAAACAAACTCTGGTCTCCAGCTTAGAGACCCCTCCTCTGGGTTCTTCTTCCTTTGTTTGCTGTGTGGGCAAAACCCCCCACAGATATGGACGTTGTCGGCTATAAATTACCCTCCCGACTTGCATTCTGGGCTCAGTCCTTTGGAGAAACAGTCTCCTCTGAGCCCAGCGGTGTAAAATAAATCTCCAATTCACCAAGATCTCCGAGTGCCGCTTGCTTCTTCCACCATGGTTCCAGCCTGGTTCCGTAACACCTCCAGGAAGCCTTCTCTGATTGTCCCAGCAGAAAGGACTGCCATGGCACTTTAGTGGCCCTCTCAAGACACTCATCACTTTTTATCAAATTTTAGAGGTCTCCTCTTGTCTTCTGGACTCCAGACAGGACCCTAGTAAGTCGGTTTGTGACTGAGTGCATCTTTACTTGCTGCTGCTGGGGCTGCAGCCGAGGGGAGCTGTTTTTAGCCGTCAGGTTTGGGGGGCTGCTACCCAGAGCATTTCGGTTCTCTAGCACCTTTATCCTATGTTTTCATATATACGCTGTCTCTCTGACATGCAGGTTTCTATGAATGGAGACAGAGACCCCATAAACAACACTGTCCACAAGGAAACCCATTCCACATTCCCGAGGAATTGTGTTAGAAATTTTGGAAACACTGCCTGCTTTTCAAGGGAGAAAGGTCACAGGATTTAGCCTGATAACTTAGAAGGGAATAAAACACATATCTTCCAACCAGAGAAGTAGTGGAGAGTATCCTTCATTTCCAACAAAGCCCCCAAAGAAAAATGCTAAGGATTCATTAAGCCCAGATGCTCAAAGGAGTGGAATTCATGGCACACAGAATAAAAATGTTTTAAACCTCGAGTCTCAAAACGAGGGAGCTATCACTAATACTTTAAAGGTGGGAAAATATGTAAGATGAAAAAATTCCAGTCCTGCTGGCCCTGTGATTTTGAACAACCATACAAATGGGTGACACACACAAAATATTCATCTTTACCTGTGAACCTTAACCAGGGAATTTCCACTGTAAAAGCATTTAGTGGGAGTGAATGACCTATTGAGGGCACGGAGGCATTGGTGTCTCATGGATGACCTTGCACAAAGGGCCAGTTCAGGGTCACTGCAGCTGAGGACGGTGTAGTTTAACTTCAGTCTCAGTGGTTTCTAGGAAGCGCTGCTGAGGGACCATCATCTAGGGCACAGCCAGGAGGGGCACGTGGAGAGGCTACTTTTCAAATCCTCTGCTATCCGACTTTGACCTAACCATTCCCCAGAGCAAAGCACTGCCTTCTGGGAAAGTTGATCGGGGGTAAAAAAAAAAAAAAAAAAAAAAAAAATCCATGGACTGGATCAAATAGAAACGAAAATCCAGATGATGACTGCAGATGGACTTTCTGAGCATACAAAGTACTCCCTGCCTGTCAAGTGTGTGAAGAAAAAGTGAGTTTTCTACACCGCGCTGGTGGGGCAGGTCTCCTGGGTCTTCACTCGGCCAGAAGAGTAACTGAGACGCTGGAGTGGCCCCCGTGCTCTCCCCAATCTCTCAGACTTGCTTTTCACTGACAAGCGCCGCTAAACTCTGGCAAAATCCACGGAAAACACGGTCTCACAGTGACCGCTTTTTGACGGAGAGCGGCAGTCACAGGAGTTTTGTTCTTGGGCCTATTGTTTGGGGCGAATGTGATTTAAAGTCGGCGGAAAGCTGGGAGATTGGACTGCTGAGGAAAGGGCAGGGTGGCTGCTGGGTTCCGATAAACATCACTGAATGTGTGGCCAAGGGCAGGGCGAAAGAGGGTGTGAGTCCTTCTCAACCAACTTTCTAATCCGCAGCACCCGACCCGCCTCGTGCCCGCAGCCAAGCCCTTCCAGGTTTTCCCCTGCCTTCTCTGAGTCTATCCCCCTTCTGCCGGCTGACAGGGCTCTCCCCATCCTGACCTAGCTGTGGAGGGCCCAGCCACACCGAAGAACATTCACTGCTTCCAAGTCTGCCTGTGCTGATCTCCCAGCCCCGGAGTCCTCTACAGCCTCTCCCATCACTGCACCTGACTCCCACCTCATCCCCAACGACTCTCACTTAGCCTTCAGGTCTCAACTTGGGCCAGGAGAAGAGACTTTGAGTCGTCCCTGTTCAGAAAGCAGCTGGCCACCTTGATGGGCTTAAACGCATCCTGGCCTTTGACCTGGCCCTTTTTGCCCTCTGTGATAACTGCTCACCTGTCCCTGCTGAACAGCGGGCTCCAAAGGGCCAGGCACCACGTGTGTACATAGTAGGCCCTTAAATATTTGATGGGGAGCAGCTGGCGTTTAAAATGCAGTATGAGGGACTTGGGTTAATCTTAAGAGGGGCTTCCCAGTGCGAGTAGCTAAAGAGGAACAAATCTTGGGTCTCTGGAGGCCAGTGTGTCTCTGATGTGTTAAAAGTCCTTAGAGTTTGTGGCTGCCTGGGACAGTTCTGGAAAACACTGGACACTTATGTGATTTTTAGACTTGGGGAATGTCAGCCCTTCAGATTCAAAAAAATAAGGTTCCTTCATCCATCTCCATAAACCAGTGCATAGAACCTGTAACAAAATGAGAAAAATACAGACAAATTAATCAGTACAACTCAATTATTTGGTTTAAAGGATTCTCCTTTACTCTGACCCTATGCTCTTCTCATGTTTGCATATTAAGATGTCTTTGTATGAAGTGAGAGTGAGAAGATGAAGTAGTTTATAGTAGTCCTTACATGGCAAAAGAAGAAATGTTAAAACTTTCTAGCCATGTCCGGGCGCTGGGGTAGTGGGAGGAATTTGACCTCTCTACTCTAGATCACCCTAAAAAGAAGTTCCAGGTGTCCAGGTGAATAAATATGAAAGGCAAAGCTTTAGAAACTCCTAGAAGATCATAGAGAATCTCATGACCTTGAGGTAGAGTAGTCTTATTTACAAATAAGACACAGAAAGATAGGATTTCCTCTAACCCTAAGAGGAAAGACATATTTAACTACATTAAGAATTCTAATCATTAAAACAGATCATAAAGAATGAAGATAAGTCACAGAATGAGATATTTACAACACACATAAATGACAAATAGTATCTAGAATACAAACATATACATGCATATAAAAACTCATAAAACGCTCAAGCAAATAAGAAACAGACAACCTAATAGACAAATGAGTGAAAGACTTGGAACAGGCATTTTACAAAAGTAGAAATCTAGGGGCGCCTGGGTGGCTCAGTCAGTTAAGTGTCTGACTTCAGCTCAGGTCATGATCTCGCGGTTCACAGGGGTTCGAGCCCTGCCATCGGGCTCTGTGCTGACAGCTCACAGCCTGGAACCTGATTCAGATTCTGTGTCTCTGCCTCTCCTTCCTGTGCTCTCCCTCAATGGCTAATAAATGAAAAGGCACTCAACCTTATTAGTATTCAGGGAAATGCAAATCAAAAGCCACAATCGGATACCATTTCACACCCACCAGACTGGCAAAAATTAAATTCCTTGTGATACCAAAGCATTGGAGACAATGCGGAAAAACATCCAGCAGTTTCACTCTGGCATCTACACCCTGGAGAAACACATGCAGGTGCACTAGAATGGTCAGAGCAGCACCGCCATTCATGTCAGCCCTGAACGGGAACAGGCTAAGTCCACCTTTGGCAGACTGGATAAACTGTGGGATAGCTGTAGAACGGCATTGTATTAATAAAACAATGAAGGAGAATAAAATCCTAAAAACAAGAATTAAGCAGAAAAATACAAATGGTAATTCCACTTATTCAAGTTCAAAAATAGACACAAAATAAACTATGCAATTTGGGATACAAATGTAGGAAGAAGGAGGTAAAATTATAAAGAAATAATTATCTCAAAAATGAGTATAAAATACTTCTGGAGGAGGAAGAATTAGGACCATGGAGAGACACACGGAGTAGGGTGTTTAGGTGCTGGCTAATATGCTACTTCTTACCTGGGTCGTGGTTACATGAATGGTTGCTTTAGATTTATTTTAACGTATATTCCTTGCTCTTTTCTGTAGGTATATTTCACTTGTTGCCCATCTTTTTTTATTTTAGAGAGCAAGAGAAAGCATAAGCAAGGGAGGGGCAGAGAGAGAGAGAGAGAGAGAGAGAGAGAGAGAGAATCTCAAGCAGGTTCCAAGCTCAGGGTGGAGCCTGACTCAGGGCTGGATCCCAAGAACTGAGATCATGACCTGAGCCAAAACCACTGACTGAGACACCCAAGCGCTGCCCCACACATCTTCTTAAAAAAATGTTTTACCAACTGCAAATCTCCAAGCCTAGGAAGCCCCTATTTACGTGGTTCTCACTAAACTCTGAGTCCAACTGTTTTAGAAAGGACTCAAAGTAGCTCCAAGGCGGGGGGCACTTTAAGAAAGGAGAGAGGCTGGCGCTGGGTCTTCGATTGTGGGTTCTCTCAGGAATGCTTCTCTGAACAATCAGGGGGTGGGAAAGTGAGGCACAGCAAAGGCTGCAGTCGGCCCCGGAGCTTGTGGAGGCTAGGGCAGCAGTGGAGAAGCTAATGGGGCATGAGCTCCCGTGTGGTGGACCTTGGGTGCCTGACTTAGGAAACTGGACTTAATTCTGTAGACAGTAAGTAGATATGGAGGGTTACCACGTAAGAAAAATGCCATAATGTTTTGGGAAGATGTATCTGGGTGTGGGGGGTAGGGCTAGATGGAAACCAGTTAAGGGTCAGATGCACTGGGAATGTGGAAGCAGAGCTAGAAAGAGATGGAATGGAGACACATTACTGAGGAACAACAGTGAGAACTTCGTGACAGAGGAACACATTTTCCAAAAACTGATGAGCTGTCTTTTCCAGTCCTTCCACTATAAAGCTGGCTCTAGGGGCATAAAGAAGAACTAAGAGAAATTCTGTTTTACAAGGACAGGTGGCTGGAACCACACATGGTCAGAACAGGACTGGCAGACACACTGACTTGATGCTGAGGGCCTGACCTGAAACTTTAAAATTCCCTACAACTTTTGAGGAGAAATTGCCTGGGCGGGAATAAGCAGGAAAAGTAAAGGATGGTGGTCATAGCCCAAACCAGAACGAGGAGTCTAATGAACCCCAACATCCTCATCACCTGGCTTCAACAACGATCCGTATTTCATCATGTGGCTTTCGTCATTTTCCCACAGCTCTAGTCCACATTCATGTGCTGCAGGAATGTAGCCTGATCCAGTGAAAGGTAAAACCCATACATTTAAATGGTTTGAATCTTGGTTCTTGTCCTATTGGGATGTCAGCAGTTCCAAATACAGGTGTTCACAGGTTATGCAAAGAGCATAACCATTCTGATCTCCTGCCCCAGGCTGTTCCCTGGCTTCTGACTCCATGATCATACAAAGTGTGCTTAGTGTGGGGAGATTAAGTCCAGGCAGAGAAGACCTTCACGAAAGGCTATTCCTTGGAAAAAAACTGGCCCCATAATCATACTCCTTCTAGATGTTACCAGATTCAATAATTGCAACTCCCATCTTATCGGAGTAAAAAACAGGCAGTTCTGACCTTGGAGAGGAGGGGGAACCATCACCCCACCACAGCAGAGCCTGACGCCCAGTTGGCAGAGGTCCTTGGAAAAGGGGAGAGGCCGGTGGCACCGAGCTCTACTGTGGCCAAGTACCTCATCAGCTCCGGGGTGTTAACGGTGCACGTCAGAGAACATTGGTATCTTAAATTAACCCTGCACTCAAGTCAGCGCACGTTCCTGTGGGGCAAAGAAATCTATCTGCTTCTATGAGGCACATCACAAAGCTCATCTTTTGTAGAACAGCTGTAAGAAAATCACCATACATGGAAATATATATGAAACTATGCCAGGAGCCCTCAGTGGAAATGCCAAGGGCTAGTCCGAAGCTTACCGGTCCAGATGGGAAAATGGGCTGCTTGCGACAATGTTCTATTCCCCTGAGGGTTTCTGTCAGTGAGCGTGTGATATGACTGCACGACCAATCTCTGCTTGGTTATACTTTGTGCACTTAGCCTTCCACAGAAGCTAAGAGGCTCTTCCTGCAGAAGCCACCACCTTAAAAATAGAGGCACCACCATAAACAACATCAACACGAGAGTTTAAAGGAGTAACGAGTCCTTTAGTTGGGTCTGTGTGCTGGTTTCTTACACGAAGTTGGCACTGCTGTCCAACTGTGGAGCGGGCCAGAGACCACACCAACAACATGAAGGGTATTTCTAGAAAGACAGGCCAAGTACAACTGTGTGCAGGACAAACAGGATAATTTTATTCTTATGTTTCCTTAAAATAAAAATACAGAACTTTTACAATTCACTATGATTAGACATGATTTATAATTTTAACATCTTTTTTTTTTTAACAAATGACAACGGAAAGAAAGAACTAGTACAAATTATAAACCTACTGGAGCAAAGAGAAACTATCTTTCTGATCAAAACATGTGCCACAGCCAAACCTCCTCAGAAAACTTTCTAAGATTTCTTAGCTAAACTTTCTCAGAGGGTTTGTGGGAAGCCTTTAATCTCAAATATTTAAACTATTTTTGTGACCACTAAATGCCTTCACCAACTTGTTAATCAAACGCTTCCTACATTTAGGAAGCAATGACCAAGTGGTCTGAAACACGTTAAGTCTTGATCCTATTTTTCCAGCTATAAATTATTAATATTTCAAGAAAACAAAGTATTTTCTAAGCACAGAAGCTTTCTAAAAAACTTCAATTACCATTTCTGGCTCAGTACCTGACTGAAATGTTCAAATGTTTATATTGCACACAAAAAAATCTGAGCAGCATACTGTGTGTGTGTGAGAAGCTGATGAAAAAGAAGACTGGGGAAAAAACCCTAAATTGTGTCCCATTTACATGATTTAAATATATAGTTTCTATATCTTTAATTAATAGAAGTAAAAAGGTAAACTTTAGAACAGCACAGAAATACAAATCATTAGAGTTTTACAAAATATACTCAACCCCTATACGTGCACAATCTTTTTAATTCTGGAGTTACCATACAAGGGAGGAGCTAATTTCTTCCCCTTCATACGAAAGCAGGAAGTCACACGTACAAAGTTATTTATATGAAAACAATAAAGATCCACATTCCTCTTCTTTGTCCTTGACAAATATTTATGGAATGTTGGAAATTATGAAAAAACAATTCCAATGTCACGAAGTCCAAAGACCTGGAATGAAATACTCCCAGTGGCACACTGCGTTGCACAGAATGACAATCCTCTTCTGGAAACCAGGGCTGCACTCCCTGTCAGCTTTAATGGCTGCCCACCGACCTGGGTGGAAAGGCCACAAATGCTGGGCCACCTCTGGTGGCATGCAAATGTTGATGCCATCTCGAGTCCCAACCAGCTCCCTGATAAAATAATGGACAATATGTAGCAGCTACCGTCCCAACAGGCTACTCGCCCCAACCGCTGACAAGTATAAAAGTTCATGCGGTTCAAGATCAGTCCACTGCCCCTCCCAGAGCTGAACACTCCCCAACTTGTCACCAGGCCCAGAGGGAAACACGGGCTGTAACTTCCACAAAACAAAGTAAGAACAAAACCTGCCTGCCGGGGAGATAAGATTATAGCTTCATTTTCAAACTTGTAACCAGATTAAAATCCTAACTTCTCTGTAAAAGAATTCTTATAACTTTCAGCACATTAAATACTGTGTCCTCAGAATACCTTCATTCAGATTGTAAGTACCTTGTTCCTCAATTTTGTGACTTCTAACTTCTCTCCCTTCCAAATTTGCTTTCTTCTTACGTTTCTAAAGTAAATTATCATAAAAAAAAAAAAATCCAATGCTTAATATAGAACTGAGAAAGCAAGATAAGATTGAGGAAATCACGTCATATGCTCTGGTTTGCTGCCTGAGGATATTTCTGCTGTTTCTTAAAGCAAAAAGTAGATAAGGATTGTTTTAGACCTTGGGCACTGACTAGTAAATCACTAGGGGATCTGGAGATAGACTATTCATCCTGGTTATGTGAGTCAAATGCATACGCGAGAGAACTCTGAGCCTCACTCTTGACATGCAACTTTTTCTCTTAACGCAGGTCGGGTGGTTGGTAGCCTTAACTCTTTTCCTTCCCTATGTCAATTGTCATTACAATGCCTTAGTAGGAACTAAATGCCAGGGACTTTTCCCCAGCACTACTTTTAAGTTACCTAGATAGCAGTGAGGCCACCGCCAAGCTACAGATGCAGTCTGTGTGGCTGGCACGCCCTGGAAAGGCCTGGCTGACCCTAGCTCCCTCAGGCCTACTTACCAATACTCAGTTCTTAGACACAAAGGGACTGGAGCGAGTGTGGCCAAAGCAGAACATCCATCTTTACCGGTGCTATGTCTAAAGATGGCCCCATGTTGGCTCCCGTGGCTCACAGAACCAGGAAGGCTACAGCTTCTGGGGCTGGCCACTCAGCTGAAGCCTGGAATCCAAGTCACAAGCACGCGGGCTCCCAGGACAAGGGGCCAAGCTTCCTGCCTTCGACTGTGCTGGCCGCCCTGGGGCCCCTGCCAACAACATATTAGCTTACGCTCCCTGAAAACTCCAATGCCTCCCAGAACCTGAAGGAAATATAGTTAGTCTTTTGACTACTTCTCTGACAAAAGTTCTATCTTTTGAGATACTCACTTTATGCTGAAAGTCAGTTAAATGACCAGCTTAAGAGCTGAACTCTGAACTAGAAAAATTAATAGCAAGTTCATGTAAAGGTATATGTTAAAATGGGGAAAAAGTGATCTTAAAGCAAAGTTAAATTTCACGTAACCATTTTTATCTCAGTGGGATAGCAACGTGTAGATTGGCCTGCTTCTGAACAGTGAGAGATGAGAGTTTACCCCAAGCCCGCAACCCAAACAAACTGGAGGATGGACCAGCGGCGTGCCGGCCGGCCTCGCAGCTGCTCTTGGCGCTGTGAAGCTTGGGCAGCAGAGAGCTAACAACTGCACACTAACACTAGACACCCCGACTAATGATGCGGCCTCATGAAACAGGATGTTAGAATGAATTCTTTACAATCTCAGTGCAACACTAATTAAAGTTACCTTTTAAGGTGTTGTTTGGTTATTACTTTCTTCTCTTCAAATAGTATTTCCTGAGAAGGCTAACTTCCCCA